AGCTACCTTAGCTAAATAGCTAGTTAGCTGCTGAAGAAATGCCGTACGCTTTTGTGTAAGAATATCACAGTTCACAGCAGTGCGTCAGTCTTTTGAAGCATGCTGCTCATTTTTCTCGTCTGCTCCTACCTCTAACATAAGTTGCTGGCTTGGTGGCTTCCTCTGTTACCGTTAGAGAGAGAGACAGAGACAGAGAGGGAAGGGATTGAACTAAATGAGGGCCTGAGGGGCTGCAAAGCTGAAAAGCGAAAGGCAAAGAGGAACACTTTGGCCAAAGCATATGGAACGAGGATCCTGTTTTGACTGACTCCACAGTTCACCCCCATTTCTTCATTTCGGTTTCAGCAATTTGGCACACTGTAGATTAAGTAGGGAGTAGGGAGTACTTCGTTATTTGTTTCAACTTTCAAGTTTAGGCTAGTTCTAGTTCTGAACCTATCCTACTTTCTGCTTCCTATTTTTTAGGGTTTTTTTTAATTCTACCATCTATTAATGCTTACTGGAAGTCGTGCTCATGCACTACAATTTAGTGCTCCTACGTACTTGAATTTATTTAATACTTGGTTATCGTATTAAAAACATATCTGTACATGTATCTGGTAAGCATTCAGTCTAGCATTTTGTTGTTTTACAAATATATAGTGAACATACAGATTGTTGGATGATCTAACGATACAGTTATCCCTAAAATCATTATGGAAATTATGATGAGAGCAGAAATCTTGACAGAAGTACTGCATTATTCTGAAACCAATATGGATGCCTCAGCAATGAAAAAAGGAAGGTGTAGGGATTCCCATTTTTGGAGATTAGGGAAGAGCATGCGTGCCCAAGATGGCCTTTATAGCTAATGTAGACCCTGAAACCTGCTTTGCTCTGACATTAGGCTGACACATGTACTCTATGCAGTCAATCATTTCATGCTTAATGCCCCTAATCTCGCAGATAGACTAATATAAGTGCCCTCTTGTGCTGTTTCAAGTTTGAACACAATGCTCTATGGATTTCTCTAACTTGATAATTTGCTTGGTGGGGTTAACAATCAGTTGCACAGCTTGCAGGGTTAGTAGTTCCCATGTTCGTATTCTTGGTCAAGTCTGCTCTCAACTCAAGAAAATTGGCCTTGTCTTGGGGAAGGGAGCAAATGTGCACAACAACTAGCCAATAATGTACTTTTTGATTGATTAATCAATCTAGGCACTAGTCTAATCACAGATTGTGCCCATGCTTAGGGCCTGTCCTAAGTGATCATTTAAAATCGTAAATTTCATCTTTTTTTTCCACCCACTCGTGCAATATCTTCTATGATCATTAAAAACTGACATCTTTTCCACCCACTGTGATTCTTCTATGACAGTGTATGCCACTATACCTGGCTTTTACGTAGGTAGATGTAGCATTCAGTATATTGTTTTCAATTTTTCATTGTACACATGAATCTAGTGTGTATGCAATTGTTAAAGACAAAAGTTGTATGCCTGGCCATGATTGGGGCAGTAAGTATCCTGTTGGTAGCATTATATTTAACTCATGATCAGCATAAACTTGGAACAGAGAGATCAACAGATCTGCTCCAACTCAGGTCTACTTTCTCTGAGCTGCCATACACCGTGGGAATTCTGGGATAAACTAAGCGGAAAGGATGGGGCTCTGCACGGCTTTTGACCAACATAACCCTGGTCGTAATCTCTTGGTTCCAGGATTATGATGCTAATTGTTAATTATTGGCTGGTTCAGAGTTCAGACGGATTGGTCACTTCTGGTAAGACCGTCCTGCCATCTGAGCAGATGATCATTGAAAATGGATGTCACGTGATTGGCACAAAGGTTCTGCTGTCCTATTCTCAAGGTAATTCTTGTCATCCAATTTACTGGTCGAACTCATGGTCAGTGTTCTGCGTTAAATTCGATCTAGTACCACATGTATGAAGAAAATATAAAAGAATTGCTGCATCTCATCTCATTAAAAAAAACTCATGATTCATATATATGTCCATGATTGTATTGAATATTTTTTCCCCTGCAAGAAAGCCTCACGGCGACTGTTAACTGCACCGAAACAATCTAATGACTGTTTTGGCAGTGTACGAAGGAAGAGAACATGTGAATGGGGTAGGTAACTTCTGTGCAAGGCAACACCCGAACCTTGTCAGTCAAATTGGGTGCAGAAGAATCAACCCTCTGGGCTCTGGCTGTTTTACTGCTGAGATCGGCTCCCTTATTTCCATGTCCGTGCTGAGATCCCCCCGGCCGGTCTGTCTCTGTCCTTCGGTAAGTACGTTGCAGCTGACTTTATTACTCGGTGGAAAGTTGTTCCCAAGTGATATTAGTGCTGAGATCCCATTACCAAGTACTACCATGACTATCCCCACAAAATAAAAGTTGGACATAATGTTGTAGTCTATTATGCTCTACGATAGTGCTAGCATTTTTACAAAGAGGATAGTGGCAGCAAAGCAGATGTGGCGTATATATATACGTTTCGGGCCAAGAGGGGCGTGTTCTATTCAGTTCATTTCTTTCGATCTTGATCCGATTCAGTCACTGGTTCTTAGGAAAGAAAAGGAAGGATCAGAAAAGAAATTTGGCACACTCCCTCCTTTGTTTGGTTTTCGTTTTACCAAGACGACATGCTCTTATTCCTTAGCCGTACTACTCCGTCCCTAAAAGAATGTAATTTTACCACAATATTATATTTTAGTACCTTAAGTTTGATCCGTTATAGATAAAAAATATCTATGTTTATGATATCAAATAAATACCATCAAATTAATTACGAAATGTATTTTTATAATAAATTAATTTAAAGACATAGCTGTGAATATTATTCAACTTGAACCACTTTTCGTGGCACGTAATCCATAGTTGCATTCTTTTCGGTACAGAGGTAGTACATGAAAAGAAGAGCGAATCCTTGGATTGAAGGTGCTGACAAACCCAACATTGGCAGGAAAATCTTGGAAGTACAGTAGGCACTAGTGTAATGTGCAATCACCACCATCCAGATTCCAGGGTCGCTCTCAAAACTCAAAACTCAAAAGGCACGCCGCGGGCATGTTCGCTTGAACTTATCAGCCGGCTTATTAGCTAAAATCTACAGTATTTTTCTCTCATAACAAAACAGCTTCAGTCGACTTATCAGCCCGCTTTAATACCAGACGAACAATCCTCCAAAATCCATGTGGCTGACTGTGACCGGTAGCCAGCCGTAGCTCCATTCCAAGTAGCCTCCTGGAAATATTACCCGTGAAGACCCAGGTAAATGCTGCCTATATATATATATATATATATATATATATATATATATATATATATATATATATATATATGCTTTGAGCTAAGAAAATTGTTCGATGTTGAGCTGCTAAGAACAGGACTAAAATGAATGAAAGCATCTCGAGTTCCAACTCACACTCTTCTTGCCGTACAGGGATACAAGATCCAGTAGGCCAAAGAGGGAAAGACCAATCTCCTCGAGCCGAAGTACCAAAGCATATCAAAAGAAAGGAACAAAGAAAAACAAACAAAATAGGGGGACGGATCATATCGGGTGCCGAAAAACACAGGGAACAACACCTTGGAACGGAGAAAAGCAGGGTCACGGTGAAGTGTGAGCAGCCTCTCCTCTCCTGACTGGCTGACTTTTCTTTTCTGCTGCTCCTCCCCAACTGCTCTTCGTTTCTTTCTTGGCCAGTGGGACTGTGCACGGGAGCACAGGGGGGATTCCGGATCCATGGAGGGGATCTCAAATATAGTTTGTGTGACCAGCACAGCAAATGTACTAGTACAAATATATATAACACATAGTCCTTTTTAGGGCTCGTTCGTTTAGCTGTCTCTTCACTGATATGTGATTAGTTAAATTTATCACTTGATATATGGTTTTATTTCTGATGTCAACATATTTCACTTGTGTTTTTATCAAGTTGGCCCCCCCTTGATTTTGTGCCGTGCTCCGTCGCTGGGACTGTGGGAGTGGGAGGGATGGATCCATGGAGGGGGATCGAAAGGTTCACACCAGCACAGCAGTACTAGTACACTGCTGCACACAATATCCTTTTTAGGGTGAGGCTCCAGAATACTACAAATGATACATACTCCACTCCTATTTGAAACAGCTACTGGTATATGCACATGCAGCTGCAGGAGTATTTTTTGGGGTAGATTTATTTATATATTTTTTCAAATAAAAAATATAATAATAAATATTAAATATGTACGTATGTGGTGTAGTATTTTAGGAGTAGAGTTAAATGAATACGGTACCGTATGCCAGTATCAATGTGGTTGAGTACGCGGGTCCTTTTCCCCTCATGGAGTTCTTCAGATGCTATATACTGCAGTACTTTTCACCATACTACTGTGCTTGTGCTTGTATGCATTCTTTCCTCTTCTACAGTTTACGTATTTTACCTTACCCTGCTTGGTTTTGCAAGACCAACATAAAGCAGAGGAGACTGTCCATCCTAAAATTCCTCTTCACTTTATTCTCTGCCAGCCTCACACACACACGTAGTTAGGCTATTCACAGAACTTCACCTCCCTCCAAATACCCAGGTTTTGGAGCAGGGAGGAAGACAGGGCGCCCTCCAGTGTCCAGTCCAGTGTTCCACTCGCCCTCCTCCCTCACCCCAACTTTACCTTCTAGCTCTGCTCTCACTCCCTCGACACGCACGCACACAACAAGGCCTGGTGAAGCTCTAGCCTAGTGCTAGTATAGCATCACATTTTGCTCTTCTTCCTTTGCTTCAGGAGCCAGTTAGAACATTGGTGTTAGCGCGCTCTTTCCTCCAAACAGAATCAAGATTTTGTTCTCATCCTCAATACTCTTCTCTCTCCCTGCCTCCCTCTCTCTCTCCTCTCCATCAAATCACAAGCTTTGTTTATACAAAACAAACAGTTGCCTCTGCATCCGGCTTGGCTTCTTCTACCTACATCAGCTGTCCATTTTGCAGCAAGCAACAGTCTCTTCGGCTGCATGAGTGTTCCCCTGAGCAACAATGAGAGATGGCAGCAACACCACCAAGAAGAGCAAGGTATCTTCCGATCCTCGAGCTTCACTGAGCTCTGCTGCATTGTAAAAGTAACTTATTATGTCCCTCCATGCTCCAATGTGGCGCTCCTTGATGTTGCTGTGACTTGTAGCTGTCATGGTCCCAGAGCTTGGTGAGGAAGTGGTTCAACATCAGGAGCAAGGCCCATGACTTCCATGCCGACGATGTAGCCGCGATTGGTAGGACAGGTATGCATTTCTCTGTGTTTGCTTGTGTGCGTTTGTATTGTATTTGTGGGCCTGATTGCTCGCCATGTCTCTCTGTCTCCTGAAGATCAGTTTTGTTGTCTCTTCAGCTTCTCATCTTTCTTGTCTTGTTTCTCCTTTTCACCAGACACCCAATTTTCCTGTTTTTCCGAGTTCTTATTACCAAGTTATTGATAGAATGTCCTCGCAAAAAAAAAAAGTTATTGATAGAACGAGCTGCTGTCTTGGATTGAATGTTGCCTGATCGATGGTTTCTTGCTTCAGTCGCGGGAGGGGGTGATGATGAGTGGAGGAGGGGCAGCAGCTTCACCCGTAGGGAGCCTAGCACAGTGAAGAAGAGCAAGACAGGTGAGCAGACTACCAAAGGCTTGGTCTTTATTTGTTAGCTGGACGGCCACATTTCTGAATTATTTCTTCAATGCCATGGCCCGTTGATTCAGAGAGGTCCTCGAGGAGGAGCAATGGGCACTCGAGGCGGGGAAAGATCGACCTTGATGCCGCCGAAGCTACAGTGACATTGGACTATAGGTATACTACTGCATTGCAGAGTTAATGCTCATACCCATTCCCAAACTTAAGACGGTAGATAATTTCTCATGTGCTTGAAGTAGGATATTTGTTGCTACATGGAATGTGGGTGGCCGTTCCCCACCAAATAACATGAGCCTTGAGGACTGGCTCCATGCTGCACCTCCTGCTGACATCTATGTCCTCGGGTACTTGTTACATCGCTAGTTGTGTTCTCATGATTCTTGTGGCAGTGCTTATTATAAGTAAGATTTCACTGGTTTTGTTGATGCTATTGTGTTTAGGTTTCAAGAAATCGTTCCACTCAATGCTGGGAACGTTCTTGGGACAGAGGACAATGTCCCAGCAAAGAGGTGGGTGTCACTGGTCAGGAGGACACTGAACAATTTGCCAGGTACTAGTGGCAATGGGAGCTTCCGGACACCATCTCCGGCTCCTAACCCTGTGGTGGAGATCGATGATGATTTTGAGGGTTTGTCATCGAGGCAGAACAATGCGACATTCTTTCATCGTCGGTCTTTCCAGGCTGGGCTTAGTCGGAGTTTGAGGATGGAGGGTGACATTCTTGCTCCTCAGCCAAGGCTGGAACGTCGGTACAGTGTCTGTGACCGAGCAATCTATGGTCCTAGGCCTAGCGACTATGAGAACAACTACCGATGGGGTGGATCATCAGATGACGAGAATAATACTGGAGAGTCACCGAGTACTGTGTATTCACCAATGTCATATGGATACGGCAATGCATCATCTCTGGAAGATAGCCAGAGACGAGGAGCTGGTCAAACTAGGTAAGTTTTAGTCTGAAGTTTTTCATTCTGAAGCTGAACCATTACTATGGATTTAGTGGATTTTTTGTGGTAACTGGCTGTTCAGATACTGTCTGGTGGCAAGCAAGCAAATGGTGGGATTGTTTCTGATGATTTGGGCTCGGAAAGACATAAGAGATGACATAAGAAATCTGAAAGTTTCTTGTGTTGGGAGAGGACTGATGGGCTACCTTGGGAATAAGGTTAGTCATAGTGTTTTTTTGTGATTTTTGTTGGTTTTCCAGTTTATCATATATAATTTGATCACAAACAGGAAATCTTGCTAGCTTAAGTATTCAATGGTAAAGGATTTGTTTTCCAGGGTTCAATTTCGATTAGCATGTCATTGCACCAAACAAGCTTCTGCTTCGTCTGCAGCCACCTGACTTCGGGACAGAAGGAAGGTGATGAGCTGCGGAGGAACTCCGATGTGCTGGAAATCCTCAGAAAGACCAGGTTTCCAATGGTCTATGGGCAGTATGAGCGTTCACCAGAAACAATCTTAGAGCATGAGTAAGCAAAGAACCTTACAACGGATTCATGAAGTTTACTCCATATGCATTTGGTGTGACATTGGGTCCCTTGTTTTGCCTTTCATTGCAGTCGAATCATCTGGCTCGGGGACCTAAATTACCGAATCGCGCTTTCCTATCGGTCAGTGAAGGCCCTTGTCGAGATGCGCAATTGGAAAGCCTTGCTAGAGAAAGATCAGGTGAGTGCTTGGTAACCCTTGTTGAGAACAATGCATGTGTGCGTGTGTGTAGCGTTGAAGCTCTAGAAAGCAGTAAAATTCTTGTGCCAGAGGCAATTCAGTGCCTTTAGTCTTGTCGTTCTTTTTACTTTATCATGTTACAAGATTACTGCTTGCTTCACAAAAAAGCAAAAGGAGCTATAGTTTTCGCTATAAAAATGATTTTAAAATATTCTGTTATCTCAAAGACAAGAAAACCTGGCACTTTCAGCTAAGGATCGAGCAAAGAGGCGGAAGAGTATTTGTTGGGTGGAATGAGGGGAATATATATTTCCCACCAACATACAAGTACTCAAACAATTCTGATAAGTATGCTGGAGATGACATGAGCCAGAAGGAAAAGAGGAGAACCCCCGCATGGTATTTTAGCTGCGGATTTTTGTGCCTAAATTTTGCCGGATTTTGTACAGTCAAGTAACTTCAGTAATCTTGCCACGCAGGTGCGACCGTATTTTGTGGTACGGAAGAGGCCTTGGTCAACTGTCATACGTACGAGGTGAATCTCGCTTTTCGGACCATAGACCGGTCTACAGCGTCTTCAGTGCAGAAGTGGAATCAATCAATCATAGCCGGATCCAAAAGATGAGTTGCTCAAGTTCTCAACTGGACATCGAAGAACTGTTGCCTTACTCATATGGATACACTGACATCAACCCATATGGATACACGGACCTAAACTTCTACTGAAAGAGTTGAGGATTTCAGTCTTCAGCATCCTTTGAATGTTGAATGCAGTAAATAGTGATGAAAAGGTAGGCCTTGGAAAATGATTTTGGTTCTTGAAATGTTTATGTTCATCAACACGCTGATAATTTCCAATGTCAGGTTGTATTTTTCATGAAAGATCCAAAATTTGTTGGACCAAAGCTTCAGCTTGTTATAGTCGGTAAGCTCTACTCCTATGTCATGATCGACACAGTTGATTCATTACTCGTTACTCATTAGGTGCTGAAGAGCTGACTGAATTTAGTAAAATTACAGACCTGCGCATTGTACATCTTCACAAGTGCTAGGGTACATAGTATGCAGGATTTAACTACTCGAGATAAGGTACGATTACATATGATCAGTTTCATGTGTTAGCAGAGCTACATTTTGGTGCATGAGAGGTCTGACGAGTCACTCAATCTTATTCTCTCCCTTTTGCAGCCAAGGGCCATGTTCTGCGAACTCTGAACAAAGTTACATGCAGCAACAAGGGCGTGGTTCACTGACTTCGAAGAGAATAGGCAACAAGATGGCCACTTACAGAGCAAACGGTTCGTTTTTTCGGGCAGACAGTACGATATTCAATCATAAGCCCCGGAGACTTTGGTCACAGCAAAGATACTACTGGTAGCAACGGCAAGCGTGCGTCAGATATTTTTTTCCCTTTTCCTGTACATTGAAGGGCAACGTTTTCAGACAGTAACGACAAGCAGTCCTTTGTATAGTTTAGTCCTCTGTGGTTATCTGTTGAAAAAAGGCCCATGAAGCCTGCATTGCTCGTATCATTTCCATGGATGGAAAAGGGGTGTGTAGGCCATCATTACCATGTTTTGGTTTTTATGAGCATCGTCAGAATCAGTTGAGCTGACAAAAAGGCTACCTGTCACATTTTCACCGGCCGTCTCTCTGCAGGAAAATGTGTGTTCTTGCCCCTCTTTTCACTGTACCTGGCTGGGGCTAGGCTAAAAAAAACTGCTGCTGGAACCTGCAGACTTGCAGAAACATCTGTGATATACATTTCTGTTTGCGTTGCAAGTGCAAGCGCACGCCGTGATGAGGTCTAGCAAGGAATGATTTGGCTAGCAGTTGGTGTGCACTGCATGATGGTCAGATTGAGTGCACCCTGAACGTGCATCAGTGCTGCAGACCGTTCCCATTGGACCTTGCATGGAGTAGTGTGATTCAGTCTGTGGCATCGGCTGTTGGACTGCAGAGGGAGTGAGGGACTCAAATTTCTGCAGGCATGCACTCCCCTTGCTATAAGGGCCTCTTTAGTTCCCAAAACTTTTTGCGCAGTACCCATCACATCGAATTTTGTGGCACATGCATGAAGTACTAAATGTAGACGAAAAAAAACTAATTGCACAGTTGGGTGAGAAATCGCGAGACGAAACTTTCGAACATAATTAGTCCATAATTAGACACTAATTGCCAAATACAAACGAAAGTGCTACAGTAGCCAAAACCCAAAAAAATTTGCATCTAAATGCGCCCTAACTGTTGAGCTACTGAAGATGTAATCATTTTTATATTAACACATACTCCGCTACTGAAGCAAATCTTTGTCCACTGGCAAAAGGGCTAGCTTGTTGTGGTTGGCAGTCACCACCAACAGATCTCAGGCAACGTTCTGACCCCGGCCCCAATGTTTGGACAGGGGAGATGCAGAGTTCTAGGCCACTTTAACCTCATTTCCTGCCGAAGAACCTGACCTGCTTTCCACCATACAGTTATTCTTGATTTCTTGATTGGTGTGTTAGCCCCCTTAACAGAAGATAAACCTAGCTAGCTAGCTTACCCTGACTGTACTGCGCCTCAAAAGGAGGTGAGTTGGGAGGAAATGACAGCCGTCTTTCACCCTCTTTTGTGCGTTGGTGGGTCTCAAACAACTGTAATTTTACCAAACCTGCTATATATTATCAAGGCGTAGGAACAACTGTTAACCATCAAAGTTACCAGACCATGATCTGTCTTAGTAGCTAGCATTTCAGTAAATAATTGTGCTGGCTATATGTAGTATTTTTTTTTTTTATGTGGACCACGTCCATATATAGGAGTAGTATGCATGTGTTCATGTGTTCGGGTGAATGTAACAATTCTGGCTTGGGAATAAAAGAATCTCGATGGGTATGGAGCAAAATGGCTGTGACATTGCACCCTTTGGGCGTTGAGGTGATTGGTGGAAAAGTATATGCTATGGCTATGCGTGAGAGGACACGACGGGGACAGACAAAGAGAGAGAGAGACTCGTCGCCGGCCCCGGCCCCGGAGGGCGGAGGCATTCATGCCTTCTTGGTGAGTAACAGCTAGCGAGGAAATGCATGGCCGGCCGGCCGGATCTCATTTCTGCATGGGCCCAATGCAATGCAAACAAGAACAGATGCTAGCTGTGGATGATATGGTGCATGCAGTCAAGATTCATCATCCCGGCCTGATTTCCATGATTTCTCCCGCTCGACGACGATCGATCGGATTCTCTGCATGCATCCCGGGCGGCCCTGGGGGTGATTGTGCTGTGTCGTCCCTGCTAATCATTGGATCGGCCGCTGCAACAGTGCCTCGTGCATCATCCATTCCCATGACTAGACTGCATGCTGCGTTGCTGCTGCTCTTTTTGCAGCATGCAACATGTGCAATACATACATGTGGCCGGCCGGTCGTCAGCTAATATTGTACAGCTGAAGAGAGACCTAGTAGTAGTATTCATAAATCTTTTCTTGGGGAAATTTGAACTCGATCTTCCTTAAAAAAATGTATGTGAGTTTTAACATGTACTATGGAGACAGGAATGGATGAGAAGGTGAGGCGATTACCATGCATGCATGCTTCCAACATCGTGGCACGTGCAAGAAGCATCAATTGCCGCCTACTATTTGCGTGCTGCTGTGCAGTGCAATGTTCGTCACGAGTCCGCAAGCAAATGGACAGATAGAGCTGCACTTTCGCATCCGAACAATCTCTGCGTGCATGGGCATGGGGGTAGACTAGACTGCTGTAGACAGGCATGCATGTTTCTCATCGATCAGTTAAAGTCTCAAGCTCGAAGAAGAATATCATTCAATTCAAAGCATCGATGCCTTATTGCCTTGTCTCGTCAAGTCGTCATGCATGCACTCGTATACGTGCCATTCAAGCAAGGTGTCATGCATTTTTACGGCTTCGACGACGTGCTGCAATCATGCAAAGTTATAGGTTGTGCGCGCGGGTGATAATGCTATAAACACCACCATGAAGAGACCGGTCATATACATAAAGAGAGAGAATATAGGATTTGATTTGATGTGGGCGGGATAGGGCAAATAAATTCGAGCTCCAGCTAGATTGATCTTGATCTTACTTTTTTAGAGAGAGAGAGAGATGATCTTGATCTTACTTGCAGGTGAGGACACGGACCCATGTAGAGCCCACTACAGCACGGGCCTGCTGAATTTGCTTTCATTGTAGAGGCTTATTTACTTATAGATAGAAAATTGTACACTTTATCTATATCTCACGTGTCTAAATTTTGTTGTTGTTCAAGCAATATGTAATTTTGTCATTGTTTGGCTATAGCAAAAATGTAAATTGTCTCTTTTGAGTTGTCCTTGTAGTTATACTAGCTTCTCGTGTAAGATTGTTGCCTGTTCAGGCACTTGAAATGTAGCAATTTCCACTACATCATACGTACGTGTGCATTTTCAGTTCAGAAGAAAACACAACGACCAGCCTGCAACTGCAAGGGATCGGAACTGAAGTGAAGGGAGAGCATCTGCATGCAGGTTAGCTAGCACAACTTTGGGCATGCATGGAGCACCGCATCAGCGTGCATCGTCTGGCGACTGGCATTCATCAAGCAGTTCCAGTGTTCATTCGTTCTTCAATACGGAGTACATTATACATGCAACACATCGACGTAGAACGTACCTTTGGCTTTGCGAGCGGCACACTGCAGCAGAAAAGACTCTTGGATTGGAAACGAGCTAGCTGTAGCTCTGCTCTTGTGCGCAGAAGCTGTCAGAACTCGAGAAGAGAGAGAGAGAGAGAGAGCTGGCTCAAGACAATGCCACGCATGCGTGAGAAGAATGTGTGCCGTGTGCGTACAGTATAGTGCCATCGTGTATTCCGTATTCGTGTCTAGAATCTACATCGATCGACAGAGATGGATACATACAACATACATGCATGCATGCTCGTGTCTCTCCACAAGTTACGACTAGCTAGTTTAGTTCCTTACCAAAAGTTTACACCATATCCTATCGAATATTTGGATATATACATGGAGAATTAAATATAGACTAAAAAATTAATTGCACAGATTACGACTACTTTATGAGATGGATCTTTTAAGTCTAATTAGACTAGGATTTGACAATAAAGTGCTACAGTAACACATGTGCTAATGAAGAATTACTTAGGCTAGTTTACTGACAAATTCTATAATTTATTTTTTATTAGTATCTGAACACCCCATGCGACCGATGTGACACCCAAAACTTTAAACCATGTGACTAAACAAGACCTATATATGCATGCATGCATGTTCGTGTCTCTCCGCCTTGTTCTCTAGCCATCGTCGTTTGAACTCTTGTGACCTTGCATGCATGAGTGTGCGTGTCAGTGTAGGCCGGTGCTGCTTCTGCTGCAGTCGTTTTACATGCATGGGACTCGATCATGTCCGTGTCCGTCGGTCACTCCGTAGTCGGCCCCGGCCGGCCATGCACGCCCTTGTTCCAGAACTACGCACTGAACGAGAAGATAGACACCAACGGTCACATCGTCCAAAGCACTTGGGCTTGGGCAGCTCAGCAGCTGGGTGGCTGGGTGCGCTTGTAAATTGCACGTGTCGTTCATGATTCCACTGAGCCTGAGCGTATGCATACAGCAACATGTGTACTTGTGTAGTGTGGTCATCATCAACGTCGTCGGTTGATTCTGTATCGGGGGCGGATGCCTTGGGTGCTAGACAAGGACAGATCCATCGTGCGAATGCAAGACTATCT